GCGTGCGCCCGACCCGAACATATAGTAAAGCCACAGGGAGGCCAAAAATAGCGCCGACCCCAGGAGGTCTGGACCCCTTCCCCAAGGCCGGCGCCTCGTCCCCAATCGTTGCCTGACGGTCCCGAGGCCCAGTGGAGGATGACGAGGCGGAGGAGGAGGAGGAGGAGGAGGAGGAGGAGAAGGAGGAGGGAGGAGGACGAGGAGGAGATGGTTTTGGAGGTCCAGGCCAGGGATAAGGAGATGCAGCTGATCAGATCCCGTCTTGCATGCATCCAAGATCTTAACTGGAAATACGGCCCCAATCTAAAGCAGCAGAAGGTCCCGAAAAGTGCCAAAAACCGACGGCTTCGAGAAGCCGAGATGAGCCCGCACTGTATCATCAAAGGGGGGGGTACCACAAGTTGTACCCGCTGTGCTGCTTTTTCTGTCACGCCTTCTCCAGGATGGGTTTCGCAGGTGTGCTTACCCAGGAAATATATATATTTGAAGTCCACCCCTCCCACCACCCCAACATATGTATGGTAAAAGGGGTGGTGTTCTGTTCCAAGTGTGGGGGGTGGGCAGCCTCTCGAGCCACCAAACTTTCAGGTCCTTGCGAAAAGCCAACAAGTACGGGGATCAAAGCGTCTCGTCGGTTGTTGCAGGGACAGAAGCCTAAAGGGCTTCTCGAATGGCCCGTGGGACAACTTGCCCATTTAAGAACGCAGGTTGCGACCCGCTGTGGCCTTCCACGAGAGAAGATAATCTCGTGAGTCATTTTCAGAAGGGCCCTGGCGCGCAGGGAGCCCACCTTCTAGTGCAGGTCAATAGGTCAATAGGAGGACGAGGAGGAGGAGGGGAGCCCCAGAGGAGGAGGAGGGAGAGGAGAAGGAGGAGGAGGAGGAGGAGGACTAGGACTAGGGTGAGGAGGAGAAGAAGGAAAAAGAGGAGGAGGAGGAGGAGGACGCGGAGGCGGAGGAGGAGGACCCGTGTAAACCCAAGTTTCGTCAACGATGTTGGAATAAACCGTCCGACGTAGCTCCCTGTTCATAAGCCCCTACAAGGGCTCATTTCCGCTGTGGGAACTGCTTCGTTGGAAAGCAACCGTTTGAAGACCCTGATGCATGCCAAAACATCGTTATCGGGATTCCAACGCCACGGATCAACCTGATTGTTGTATCTTGACGATCCTGAATCGCACCAGAACGCCATTTTTGGGACTTCAACGCCGCGGATCAACGTAACAGCCGCGCCCTCCGAATCCTGAACCGATCCAAAACACCATTTCTGGTACGCTGATCAAAAGGAACGGCCCTGAATCCGTGAAACTATTGCAGTGTTTTAGAGCAAGTGTGCGCGGCGATAAGGCGACAGCCACATTTTGAAAACGACCCGCCCTCAACCCGCGGAACTGATGCCATTGGTTCAAAGCGGATGCACGCGGCGCTAAGGCGACAGCCACATGTTTAAAGACACCCGCCCTCCATGTGTGAAACCGTCGTCCACGTTTGAGCCTCAGGGTCATAAGTGGTGAGGTAGTCTCAGGCGAAGCGCCCAGACCACCCTAAAAACTTGCCTCGGGGTGCGACAGGGAAAAATTCTGTATAAGGGAAAAGAATGGGAGGAGGAGGAGCAGGAGGAAGAGGACGAGGAGGTGTAGGAGGTGTAGGAAGAGGAGGAGGAGAAGGAGGAGGAAAAGGAGAAAAAGGAAGAGGAAAAGGAGGAGGAGGAGGAGGAGGAGGAGAGGGAGGAGGAGGGAGGAGGAAGAGGAGGAGGAGGAGCGGGCGGGACTGCGGCGGGCGCAGGCAATCGAAAACCAACGGCAGGTCAGCCCGCACAAACTCAGTCTGGGATGGGGGGGGCGGTGGGCCACAAAGGCCCTCAAGCTGCACTGGAGCTCGCCTGCGCCTCGCTGACCTCTCGCGCCTCCCGCGAAGGGCCTCCGCCCTATTGGCAGCAATGGGAGCGAGCACATCAAGGGGGAAGAGACCGAGGCATGGGAGGGGGGCAGGGGAGGAGGACAGGCAAAACCCGAAACTCCCTCGCCCCTCTCAGCAGCAATCATCGCCACCGAGCGAACGCCTTCTAATTCCTCCTCCTCCCCTGCTGGAGCTGCCATTCCCCCGGGCTGTTGCATCGACTTGATCCTTGCGACAGCCGATGGTGGCCTGGGAGGCTTGGCGGAGCGTGCAAAATCTGGGCCCACACTGGGCGCGCCAGCAGCAATGCTGGCATAACCAACAGAGATCTGCAAGAGATCACGCGTCTCGCTGCTGTCTGCAGGATCCCCTAGTACAGATGATTGCCCTAGCAAGGAAGGCAGAAGGGCCTCAAGCACAGCCGTAGCAATGACTTGGCACACGGCTGGGGGATAAACCTTCCTCGGCGCAGTGCGCCATCTCTTAAGCACACTGCCCCAGCCCACATGGGCCCCGCGGGCCCGAGTCCCCCGTGAACAACACCCGCCTCCAAGGGACTCGTGCAAAAGGGAGGGGGGATCGGAGAGGCGAATTCCTCGGATGGCTGCAGGAGCCCGCCCACTTTGCCCGAATTCGGTGATCGAACGCAGTGCAGTTAGAGCACGGCGCGGCCATAAGCCCTTGGAGTGGCAGGAAGCTCCAAGAGGGCCCTGCACGGGGCTCCCACGACGGGGGGGACGGACGCTCCATCCACGCACACCCCTGGCCGACAGCCACAACAGCCATGAACTCGACCATGGCCTGGAGCAGATCACTAGAGACAGAAACCCGCAGCCGCTGCCTGGGAGAGAAGCCTGCAATCCCCCCACGGCGCGCGCCGGCTCCACGGGGAGGAGGGGGGGGCCCCCTCCCGCCACCAACCTGCACGAAACGTCTCACGGGGGGGCCACACTCCGCGGGCGACAATCCCGCCCGCGCGAATGTGATCGGCAAAAAAAAGCTACGCCACTGCGTTTGCGTTCGAAGATCGCCCAGCTCGGCATCTAAGAGGACGTCGACAGACAGTACCACTAGCTCGAAGAGAGGTGCGCACGTGGTCATGGCCAACTCAGTGGCCTCCCGGACGCCCCCTGGCCCTCGCTTCCCGCAGAACAAGTTGGCAACGAAAACCTGTCCACGCAAAATGCGTCTTGGAAACAGCGTCCTCAGGACGGCCAGAACCGACGAGCTCTCGAAAGGCCACTCTATCTCCGATGGCTTGGGGCCCCACGCAACCTCAGGCTCATCCAAAACATGGGGCGCTAGAGATTGCCTGGGCCACCCTGCGATCTGCTCCACGCTATCCTGAATAAACTTCATGGCCGCTGCTCGAGGACAGTCTGCCTGAACCGCAACAACTACCGGGGGCAGCGGCCCCGGGGGCGGCAAAAGAGGAAATCTGCCCCCGGGAGCCGAAGAACCTCGGCGCCCACGCGCTCGGTTCTGGGACATGTCCTCGGCGGCCAATTCGAGGCACTCCAGAAGGACAGCGCTAATGCACCACCACCCCTTCTTTGATAGATCTCCTCCAAGATGGCCCCAAGAGCGCCCCAAGAGCGCCCCGAGAGGAAACGCTTCGGGGGATAGACCAGACGAGTCGGCTTCCACGCCGCGACGCGCCTCACGAGAAGCGCTCGCCGGCACAGACCTTCATGCACCAGGCGCGCCCAGCAGCACGGGGCCTCGACCTTGCAAGATCAGCGCACAGGGAGCGCCCCCGCCGGATCCGAGCGCCCACCGACCGCAGCTCCGCAAACTCCGCCGGGTAAAAATGGCAGCAAGACTTCTGATTGGGACGAGGGCGGGGGAGATCTCGACGAGGGGGGAGGCCCATTGGCTGCCAAGATTGCTACCGCTCGGTCCTGCCTTTTCGAGACCTGCACGTCACGCTGGAGACGAAACACAAAGGCCCGAATGGCGGCCCGAAGCGTCCGCTTCCATCCTCCAAGGGACTTCCGTATCTCAGCCATCCAGGGATCTACGCCTGCGCCCGGGATCTGGAAGTCCTTAGAATTTGGGCGCGCCCCTCTCAGCGACGCGAGGTCATCCCCATGGCAGGAAGCCGGGACTTGTTGGTTGCCAAAAACTCTGCGTTGACCAATGCCACGAGGGGGCGAGGAGCCGACGCGAGTACCTGTCCGAAGAGCCGAAGCCTCGAAACTCTGAGAATGACGATCACGGTCGGTCGGGCGGCTTGCGCCAGCACAGCAAGATCGGTCGGCCCCCCAGCTTCATACCTTGGCATGCCAAGGAGCCCGCGATAGCGGCGAATGCACTGCGCCCGGACACGTAGCAGCTCAGCCTTGGTCAAACCGTACCAGGCGCCTGCTGCATATAGGGCTGCGAGTGACAATGCATCGAGCAAAGACGATTTAGGGGGCCATTTCTTTCACGGGATCCTTCGCCACAGCACACTCGGGGGCATCCATGGCCCCTGTCGCCCCTTTTATCCCTATGAGCCAGCTCAGGGCCCAAAGAAGCTTGGTCGTCCAACATGCCCCCCAGGTAGACTGCAGCCCGACGACTGAAACAGATCCCCCCCCGCACGAGAGCCCTGGAACCTGGATGGACGGGGAGACTCCGCGAAACAACTCACGCTTGAAGTCGGCTGACCCTGGACCCCTCAAATCTAACAGACGCTCGGTCTTACCGACCTGCATGCGCGGCACCAGCCCTACTGGCGCAAACGAATTCAACGCGATGCGACAGAGCGCTGGCAAGGCCGCGGCAAACTGCCTCAAAGGGGCCATGAGAAGAAACCTGAATCTCCGGCATAGACCATCCCCGGCACATCGATCCGAACGTCGGGGGAAGGAGGAGAGCCCAAGACTTCCGCCTTGAGAAGCAACCTTCTTGCTCCAGAAACCCAGCAATCCTGGCGGCCACCCCCGCAACAATGAAGATGAAAACCGCGCCCCCGACCGGGGTGCCCAGCCTAGTTCCTCGAAACGCGAGGGCTAGACGTTCATTCAGCACCTGGCACTTGGAACCACCCCAACCAAAGGCTTCCTCCACCATCCCAACAAAGTGATCAGGCAGCCCGCGGCGACGAGGGAAATGCTATCACTCCCACCTCTGCTCCAATGAAGGAAGGTGGGCCTCGGGAGGCCCCGCAGACGCCAGGAGCTTTCGAAGCGAATCTCTCGAATGGCTCGTGGACACAACGAACTCACGCATGGCCGCGTGGAGAGCACTGGCCACGTCGACGACAAGAAACCCTAGACCGACCTTGCGAGCTATAGCCAGCTTCTGCATAATCCCCGCTGCAAGAGTTGCCCGCGGGAGTTCCTCGACCTGGGATGGCAGCACACTGATGTTCACCTCCCCCGACAGATTTGGAAATGGCCTCTTTTCGGATGACATCATGAAACCGCAGCACCTGCGGCATCAAGATCCAGCATTGGAATGCGGCCGCGCGACAAGCAAGCGCACGAACCCAGCACATCAGAGCGCGAATCGCGCCCTGATTGCCCAGGCTATCCCAGGGGACGGAATGCGGAGAGAGAGGAGGGGGCAGGAGGAAAGAGACGGCCGCAAAATCTGCTTCAACCTGCTCTAGCCTATCACCACTCTTCCTGGACCTCTGTCTCCACCTCAGGGGCCAGGAAACGCAAACGACCGACGCAACTTGCTTTTACGCCATGGCCGCATCAGCACTGACACCCTGACCGGGAGGGGGGGGCTGGGGAGGAGCCAATGTCGAACTCTCGCGCACGTCGCAGAGCACTCACTCGCCTGGCCCAGGCCTAATAAACGCGGCGCAAAAGCGTTGCACCTGCCTGTCCAGCATGGAAGATGAGCTCGATTTCCTGGGCCCTGCAAGATGGGAGCCCGGCAGGGATGGCACAGGACAGGCGCCGCGCCCACAAAGACTACGCGCGCCCACAGCTGGGCCACCCACCCTAGAATCTGAGCCAACGCTCTTCTGGATTTGCGCGGGCCGCGAACCTGCCCCCGCGCGCGATCTGAAAATCCTGCGGCCTTCGCCCCTCGATCTACATCAAGAACTGGATCACAACTCGCCGTGCATATCGTGATAATATCGAGCAATGTCAAGACGGAGATGCCGACCATTCGGGCCTGGGGGCCTGTTCCACAAAAAACGAGCAAAATCAGTTAGCTCCCCTGGGCCCGCCAGCTCAGAACGGCCCAGCCGTGGCTCACAGGAAACAATCCCCCGAAAGGGCCTGAGGTCGGGAATGGGCACACGAAAATCCAACTGAACAAGCGCATGGCCAGGCCAGGCGACAGCCAGTTCGACGCTTGTGTTGACAACGGGCTTGGCTGCAAACTTACTCAACGCCACCGGGCTCGAGGCGAAATCAACCCCCCTCGTCGCCGCAACTCCTCGTGGCGGGGCCCAGGCGTGGGAGGCACGAGGGTCGCCTGAAAACGTCGCTGGAAGCATGGGCGCGCAAGCGAGCAGGAACTCGTGAGAGCATGCGCCGCTGAAATTCTCACACACACACTCTCTCTCTCTCTCTCTCTCTCTCTCTCTCTCTCGCGCGCGACGTGCCCGACTGCTCCTGACGGAATGCACCCAACGGTGGCACTGGCATCCACTAGCAGGAAGGTCAAAGGCGTGGCCTTCCAAGTTTCCCGAAGGACACTGGCGAGCTTAATCCACCGAGCCTCTACGTCCCCCTCGGCATGCTTGGAATGCGGAACCGAGCCAACCGCATCGTCAACGACGAGTATGGCAGGCTCCGCCAAGGCCAAGGTGACCGCATGCCTCTTGACAATACTGCCTGGTAGGTCAGGGACCAGCGGGGCGCCTTTGCGGAGCCACAATGAGCAGCCATGAGTACCCTGGGGGGCGGCAGGTCCATGCAAGACAAGAAAGTTGCCAATGTCGACCATCCTTGTCGGGGCACTCTAGATTCAGCTGCGCCGACAACAAGTCTCTTGGCCGCTTCGAACTGGGCCGCCAACATGCGCGGCCAGCCCGACGCATGGAGCTCGATTGGGACCTTCTTTCCATTCCCCACGGCACGCAAAGTCAACGCAACGGCGAAAGCCATTCGCCTGCGGAACAGGACGGCAGCAGAGCCACCTATCGCGGCCCTCGCAAACGGGGGGCCATGCTGCGAGCCTAGGGGGGGAGATGCGAGGTAGGCAAATGCCCCTCGCGCTAGGAGCATGAGAAAAGAAGGTGAAATCTCCTTGGCGCAGGCTGGGTTAATGGACTCGAGCTGGCACGCCCAGCAGATCCACCCACGCCCACCCGGCAGCTCTGAGGTTAGACGCCCAAGGGGCCCAGGGACACACCGGTGGGAAACAACAAACTCAAGGGTGGCTAGCGCACAAAGGGTATCTGCCATCTCGTTAAGAAGATCCCCCAGGTGAGACTGGGAACAACGAAAGGGAGCACTGGGGGGGGGTCGCAGGGGTGGGGCGAGGGAACGAAGGCAGCTGGACAAGACAGCAATATCCGGCAATCCACCTTCGCCTGCTGCTGCTCTGACAACCGCAACAATGCCAATGCGAAAACTAAAATCCTCGCACATGGACTGCAGGGCCCAAGAGGCGGCCCAAATCATAGCGACGGTCTCTGCAGCCAAGCTAGCACGGGCAGGGGGGATAGACAGAGCGAAGAACCCGCCGAGGTGCCGGGACCCAGCTGGGCGCAACAAGAGAACAACACAGGCCCACGAGGGCCCAATATCCCTCCCACCTCCCGACCTATCGGCGCAAACGAAGGCTCGACAAGTTGAGGGGGCCGCTACGATGCGGGGCTAGCGATTGCAGGTGAGCAAGGAAACATGGCAGAGGGAACCTCTCGATGTCCTGCCAGCTTGTCGCAAGTGCCCACGACCAGGGCGCCTTAATCGCTCCCAACAACTCTGAGCACTGCACGCAGCTCGACCTGCGCGCGTTGCATGGCCCACCCGGGCTTCGATCAGATACATCCGTCGGAACCGCGGCGGGCGGCTGCGCTACCCCGCGGGCTCTTCCCCTGCGGGCAGCTCCTCCCCGCCCGGCGCTCCGCCCCCTCTGGCATCGGATGACGCAGCTCCCCCTGCTCGCGCGGGGGACCTGGATGCGTCGTTCTGTCGCTGGCGGCCGGTCGCTGTCGAGCCCCCTCTCGGGCCCCGCGGCGCAGCCCCTGCAGCAGCGGCAGACGCAGGCGCGGCCGGAAAGGCCCGCGGTGTGCCTGCCATGAGCAGCTGGGCAGGCACCAGGAACTGCGGCGGCGGAATCACACACTGCGGCGGGACCCTCGTCGCTACCAGCAACGCCTCGTGCTTGGCGTTCACAGCGTTGAACTGCGTACCGAGGCAGTTCACATTGGAATCGATGCGCTCCTGAAATGCAATCGGGCCCTTCGAGGAGCTCGAGATATGCACCTGCACAACAGACAAATCTATGACCTGAGCCGGCTGCACAGGAGGAACAGCAGGCATAGCATTCGTCGGCATCCTCCTTCTTGCATTGTCCACCTGCTCCTGACCGGTCTCCATCGTGGCGGCTGGCTCTCCCTGTGGTTCTTGATCGGTCGGCCCCATGCCATCGATCTCGGCCAACGCCTGTTGGTGACGATGAACCCATTGTTCTGAAACTTCTCTCTGCTCACGAAGGGCATCGAGCTCGGCTGCCTTGGCTAGGATGGCCTGATCCTGCGAATCCACGCGCGCCTGCGATCACTGCAACGCAGCCCGCTGGCGCTCCCTCTGCTGCTCCCAAGGGCGGCAGAGGTGGATTGCAGTCAACAGGAGGGAGCACCACTCGCGCTCCTCCTCTCCCGTGTCGCCAGCCGTCTCTTTCATGCGAGTGGTTGCCGCCAGCACTTTCATCTCCGCTCTCCTTCTTGCACTGCAATGTATCGCTTCCTCTCCGCATCGGATGCAGTCTCCTCTGGCAAATGAGGGAAGCGATGGTGATAGACAGCAAAGCGGGGAGTGCATGAAGAATATTGAACGGGGAAGAGCATTGATTTGAATCCTCTTCCTCGTCGGCGAAAGTGACTGACGACGATCTCTGCCTAATGCGATCGGGTTGGCTCCGTCTTCCCCTGGACATCCGTCAGGCTGTGTTTCGCTAAGTGGGCTGGTGCTCTTCCGACTGATGCGACTGTTGCTGCCTCACCCACGGATCTCGGACCATGCCGTACGCCATGAGCACGGGTTGACTGGCAAATTGCATGGCCCCGCTGGGGCCATGCCCTGACGGAGCGTTCGCACGATTGGGCGCTTGTGCACGGCCACTGGGCAACGAATTGGACTGATCGGGCATGCACCCCGTACAGAGATGACAGCCAAAACATTTGACGGTGCCACAAATTTCACACAGCCAAGTGTCTTGCAGCTGACGTTGGCCCGAGTGATGACTAAGCAAACGAGTTTGCGCAGCAGCAACCCTCAACGACAAACGGTCGTCCGTCCTTCGCTGTCTGGCTCGTCTGTGCCAAGCTCCTTCTTGCTTGTCTCTTGGAACCGCGGCTGGCCACTGGACTAGCTACTGGCTCGCTAGGCCCACGGAGGTTCTGACTGGGAAAATCTCTAAATTGCCAAAAACACAACGCGCCGCAAGGAAAGGCCTCCGACGGTTCGGGCCTTAGGAGGAGGAGGAGGAGGAGGAGGAGGAGGAGCAGGAGGAGGAGGGGGGGGGAGGAGGAGGAGGAGGAGGAGGAGGAGGAGGAGGAGGAGGAGAGGAGGAGGAGGAGGAGGAGAAGGAGAAGCTCCAGAGGAGGAAGAGGAGGAGGAGGAGGAGAAGGAGAAGGAAAAGGAGAAGAGAGGAGGAGGAGGAGGAAGAGAGAGGAGGAGGAGGAGAAGGAGCTCCAGAGAAGGAGGAGGAAGAGGAGGCGGAGGAGGAGGAGAAAGAGAAGAGTCAGGAGGAGAAGGAGGAGGACGAGATGGAGAAGGAGGAGGAAGAGAAAAAGGATGAGGATAAGAAGGAGGAGGAGGAGGAAGGAGGAGGAGGAGGAGGAGGAGAAGCTTCAGAGGAGGAGGACGAGGCGGAGGAGGTAGAGGAGGAGGAGGAGGAGAAAGAGGAGGAGGGGGAAGAGGAGGAGGAGGAGGAGCTCCAGAGAAGGGTGCTCTAGAGGAGGAGGAGGAGGAGGAGGAGGAGGAATAGGAGGAGCAGGAGGAAGAGGAGGAGGATGAGGAGGAGGAAGGAGGAGGAGGACCAGTGTAAACCCAAGAGTCATCAACGATGTTGGAATTAACACTCCCTCCAAGCTCCCTCTTCATAGGCCCCTACAACGGTTCATTCCCATTGGGAGAACTGCCTCGTTGGAAGACAACCGTTTGAAGATCCTGAAGCATGCCAAAATATTGTTCTCGGGATGTAAACGCCACGGATCAACCTGCTTGCTGCGTCTTGACAATCCGGAATCGTGCCAGAACGCCGTTTTGGGACTTCAACACCGCGAATCAACATTACTGCTGCGCCCTCCTGAATCCTTCCAAAACACAATTTCTGGTACGTTGATCATTGGAACCGTGAAACTTTTGCAGATTTAAAAGCGGATGTGCGCGAGAGCCACATTTTTAAGAGGAACCGCCCTCAATCCGCGAAACTTTTGCAAGTTGTTTCAACGAATGTGCGCGGCGCTAAGGCAAGAGCCACATTCTGAAAACGACCCGAATTCAATCCGTGGAACTCTTGCAAATGTTCAAAAAGAATGCACGCGGCGCTGAGGCGAGAGCCACATTTTCAAAACCAACTGCCCTCAATCCGTGAAGTTTTCGCAATTTTTGAAACGAATGTGCGCGGCTCTGAAACGAAAGCCACATTTTGAAAACCATCCGCCCTCCCTCAATCCGTGAAACTCCTGTAGTTTGGTCAAACGAATGCGCGCGGCGCTAAGGCGAGAGCCACATTTTGAAGACGGCCCGCCCTCAATCCGTGAAACTCTTGCAACTCTTAAACGAATGTGCGCGGCGCTAAGGCGAGAGCCACATGTTGAAAACGACCAGCCCTCCATCTGTGAAACTGCTGACACTTCTTAAGCTTCAGAATCATAAACGGTGAGGAAGTCTCAGGCGACACGCCCGGCCCGCCCTGAAACTGGCCTCGGGGTGCGACACGACAGGGAGAAGTTATTCATATGGGAAAGGAATGGAGGAGGAGGAGGAGAGGAGGAGGAGGAGGAGGAGGAGGAGGGAGGAGGAGGAGGAGGAATGGAGGAGGAGGGAGGAGGAGGAGGACGAGGAGGAGGAGGCGAAGGAGGAGGAGAGAGGAGGAGGAGGAATGGAGGAGGAGGAGGAGAGGAGGACGAGGACGAGGAGGAGGAGGAGGGTGGCGGCGCCCACCTCCGCCGCGGCAGGCCCGGCGGCCGCAGGCGCCGAGGGCGCCGACGGCCCCGCGCAGCGCGCCGGGGCGCTGCCGGGCGCCGCGGGCCGGAGCTCGCCGGCCTCGGGCGCCGGGGCGCAGGCGGGCGCCCTGGTGTGGGGCTCGCCGGCCTCGGGTTGGGTCGGGCATGTCCTCCTGCAGGCGCATTGTGGACGAAAATAATATGGGGGAATATTGTTTTAAGAATCACGGGAATAATATGGGGGAATATTGTTTAAGAATATGGGGGAATATGGAAAATTCCTGCAGGTCAGGTAGTCAGAATATTGTTTTAATAATATGGGGGGGGGGAAAAAAAAAAACAAAAAAAACAACAACAACAAAAAAAAAAAAAAAAAAAACGTCCTCAGACTATGGTTTGACTATGGTTGAAGATTCCTCCTGTAGAGGGACATGCCCGGCTTGAGCCTCGGGCGCCGAGGCGCAGGCGGGCGCCCTGGTGCGGAGGAAGAAAGAGCGCCATAAAAGCATAAGCTTTTGGCGCTCCACGCGGAGTTCTTGGATAGAGGCCTCCTAGATGGGGTCGGAGTAGGTGGGGTCGAAGAATCGCGCCGCATCGTCTATGCATCGTCGATGCATCGCCGACGCATCGGCGGTGCATCGGCGACGTCGGCGACGCATCGGCGACACCGGCGTGGAGACAATCGAGCTCCACCTTGAGGCGCATCGACGATGGATCGCCGATGCATCGGCGATGCGGCACGATCCTCCGACCCCATCTACTCCGACCCCATCTAGGAGGCCTAGATTCGATCCGCGCTGGATCCCCCTCCCTGGCGCGCAGAGCGCGCCAGGGGCGGCGCAGGAAGCGCCGCTGGGGGGGCCAAGCGCTGATGCAAGAAATCCGCGCGGAGCGCCAAACATTTATGCTTATGCCGTTTTTCCTTCCTCGACTGGTGGAGGGCCGGGGCGCCCTGGACGGCGGCGCAGCGGCGATCTCCCCCACGGGGCGGGCTGCGGGATCCTTTGCAGGGGGGGGGGGGGGCACAGGCAGGCGCGCCGCAGTGAATGAATGCCATGCTCCTTTCCTAAGAGATGTGCTCTGGCACCTGGGAGGCTCTTGCGCCTGGTCGTGACAGCTGCGTGTTCCGAGGCCTTTGCCGGCTCCGATGGTGTGGTTGCTGCTGATGTCATTGGGATGCAGCAGTTCGTGCGCGCATGCAGTACCATGCTGTGATGCAAGAGTAAGTTCCCTCGCTTCCTACGAGCAATCGTGCGCAATATAGTTGGCGTGCCAAAAGATGCAGCAGTTGTCTCTGACCATATGCAATAATTGCTTCGGCAAGTGCCATAGTTGAGCCCGCCGACGCTTCAGCTGCACGCAGTAGCTGGGGTAGTTCATTCACGGAACATTCTGAGAAAAATCCTGGAGGCCTCGCGCGGCAACTTGAGAACCGATTTACGTCGGCTCCACGTCGGATTTACGTCGGGTTCACATCGGACTACGTCAGATTTACGTCGGATTGACGCCAGAGCATCGCCGCGCGAGCGTCGACACATGGCTTACGAAGCTGACGAGTGGACTAGATATTACAACTATTACGCGCCGCGCGAGGCCTCCAGGATTTTCCTCATAAGCCACAGACTGTTGCATCTGCACTTGCGGATCCATCGGAACGGCCTCCCCCTTCTTTGCCCAGCAGGTGGTGGCAGCGCCGACCGGCCAGCCCGAGACTGAGAGGAGGCCTCGGCCCAGCCCCATCTCACACCACGTTCAGGGGGACGACGGGTGAATCCCCAAAGGAGGACCACGGCAGGAAAGCCAGAGCCCTCGGGCCAGAGCCTCCTCACACCACAGCGCGCCGCGCAGGAGCCTTGTCGGAACCACACAACGCGCCGCTATGTGGCTGGGTGGGCGGGTGGGTTCGCTGGCACATAACAGAACACTTTGCGGGCGCACCACGAACAGCGTGGGCTCGAGGCCACACAAAGCGCGTTGTGTTCGAGTAATGCAACTTCGGCGCCGACCCAGGCCAGTCAAGAAGTTCCGAGGACGGAACGTCCCCGGGAGGCGGGACTTGACCAGAGCACGAAGTCCAGCTCAACAGCTGGCACCAACAATGCCCGCGAAAGCGTGCGCGCGGAGTCTCTCGCGCGCCCCTGGCGTAGGACAACAAAGCGCAGACTCTGCAGAAGAAAACTCGCTTGCTCACCACAAGCCTCCAAAGGGCACACGAACTGCATCCCACCCCGCCCCCCTGCGGAAACCAAACCGACACCGCTACGTACTCCCTGGACCACTCCCGGGGCGCGCTCAGCCCAGAACCTCGAGGCGAACTCAGCCGTGGCGACGAGGGCGCCCCAGGAGACCCCCAAAGATGTGGAAACGAGGGAGGGCAGCAGCATCGGTGCCGTGCGCCTCTCTGAGAGGAGGTGGGCGAGCGCTGCGGCAGTCCCGCCCATCCCTGCTGCGCTGCACTGCGCACGCAACCATGTATCGTCAGACACTGAGGTCGCAACGATGCTCACATGGTGCTCAAAAAAAATGCAAGCGACGGCCGGCTGCTTCCAGAGGCCACACCTCGGGCCTCTCCGGCCCGGGCCGTTCTCGACAATTCCGGGCACGCCCAGACGCCTCTCGACGAGGAGCAGCTGCCGGAGAGCATCCCGAGGCTGGCGAACTGCCGCGAGCCCACAAGAGCGCCCGAGAACCTCGAGCCTCGAGCCTCGAAGTCTGACTGACCCCCCCAAGCTGGCAGCTAGAGGCCTGCCAGATGGGGTCCGAACAGATGGGGCGGCGAATCGTGCCGCATCGCCGATTCATCGCTAATGCGTCCGGCGCGAAGCCACGAGAGCGCCCGAAAACCTCAAAACCTCGGGCCCCAGAGTCTGACCCCACCCCAGCGGTGGCAGCATCCGAACCCTACCACCACCAACCATCTATTCTCATGAATCCATGGGAGCCGGGGGTAGGATTCGGATTTCGCCACGCGTTCGACGAACTCCGAACCCCACCCCCGCAGCCGATCGGGTTCCCTGAATCGTTGATCGGCGAGGGTAGGGCTCGGATTTCGCCATCGACCCCAAACGCTAACACAGGGGGATGCCTCCACCGAGGGAAGATGCTCCTGGATGTTGGTGATGGTGGTAATCTTTCGGCCACCCAGGACGCCCGAATATTACCAGCGTCACCGAGATCGGGATCATCTTCCCTCGGTGGAGGCATACCGCCTGGACTGGAGTTCGCGTCAACCTCTAGGCTCTAGCCCTCCGACAGAACCCGCGAGAACGCCCTCGAACCTCGAACTCTGACCCCCGTCTAAGCTGGAGGCATCCCAAACTGGGGCCCGAATAGATGGGGTCGGCGGATGCATCGGCGCCGTCGGCTTGGAGAGAAAATCAACGCCCGAAAACCTCGAGGCCTCGAGGCGCGAACTCTGCCCCGCCGCCGAGCCCTCCCCGTCCGTGCGGGGTGCAGCAGTGCTGGCCGCCGCAGGGGCCGCCGGCGAGCCCTCCTGTGGCGGCGCACACGAGGGGGGTAGGGGGAGGGGAGAGAACGGCTTCTCGGGGATGGACAGACCCCCCTTTAGCAAAACGTCGTTTAGCGAAAACGACCTGAGGCACAGACCTGGCGGGCTCAATCCTGGAAAATAACGGCCACGGCGCCCTCTCGAGAACCGAAAACGGACAATTCACTAATCGACGTGTCACTGTTGGGGGTTCTGTCCACCCCCGAGCTTCTTAGAAGGAGGCTGCTTCTCAGAAGGTGCTGGCCCTCCGTCTACAGATCGCGGGCCTTCCAAGAAGCAGGCGTGCTTCTGCGAGGCCTCCCTCGGGGCCGCCGACGCGGACGACGTGCGACGACGACGTGCGACGACGAGGGCGACGACGACGACGACGACGACGACGACGACGACGACGACGACGAGGGCGAGGAAGAGGACGACGACGACGCCGCCGACGACGACGCCGACGACGACGACGACGACGACGACGACGACGACGACAACGACGCCGACGCCGACGCCGACGACGACTCCTCCGCGCCAGCCGCGCAGCGGCGCAGCTGCCCCGTCGGCGAGTCCCCCGCGCCGGCCGTGCACCGGCGCAGCTGGCCCTCCAGCATGGCGATCTTCGCGTCGCGGGCGCTGATGAGGGCCTCGGCGAGCGAGCAGCGCCGTGCACGTCGGAGGTGCGCTGGCAGATTAAGTGAGACAGCAAGTTCCGCTGCCGGAGGCGCGGCTGCGAAACCAGGAGACGCCGTGCAGACACCGACAGCGACGACGGCGGCGGCGAAGGGGGGGGGGGAGGACGACGAGGAGGAGGAGGACGAAACCGAGGAGGAGGGCGAGGAGGGGGGCGAGGAGGGCGAGGGCCTCGGGCCAAGGCCGAATGTCTAGAGGCCTCCCAGATGGGGTCCGAAAGGATGGGGTCGATGGATCGCGCCGCATCGCCAATGCATCGCCGATGCGTCGCCGCTGCAGCGGCGATGCAGCGGCGACGCACCAGCGATGCACCGGCGATGCATTGGCGCCATCGGCGTGGCGAAAGTCGGGCTCCGCATCGAGCCGCATCGTCGATGCATCGGCGATGCGGCGCGATCCTTCGACCCTATCTACTCCGTCGGACCCCATCTGGGAGGCCTAGAATGTCAGCGGCGAGCGAGGGGGGAAGTGAGAAGAAGAAGAAGAAGAAGGCCTTCTCGGACGGTGGCGCGGCTTCTAAGAAGCCCTCTCGCGCCTTCTGAGAGGTCTTTGTCCGTGTCTGCGGGGAAGGCCTGAGAACTTCTCAGAAGGCCAGGGAACTTCCGAGCCTGCTGAGAAGGCCCGCCCCTTGTCACTGCCCCCCGGGCCCGCCGCCGAGAATGGGACGCAGAAGAACATGGCGGTGTTATGTCAAGACGAAGCCAGGACGAAGGGAAAGTCGGGTGAGGAGAAATCGGTGATCTCTGAGATCCAGCGGCTCTGGAGGATGTACCTGGCGCCGAGGCCCTCTCAGAGCGTTCTGGAACGCTCTGAGAGCGCTCAGAAACGCTCTGGAACGGATTTATTCTCGTCCTAGCCCCGTCCGATATGTGCTTATGTTGCAGGTGCAGATCCGATACGAACACGTAGCACACTAATCTCATAGTGCTCCCCCCCCACACCTTCTCGCTGCGAGCCAAAAGAAAACACGAGGGACAACTTGGGCCATTGACGGCCTCCTGGGGCCCCCTCCAGGCCCTAGGCCCGTCAAAAAACGGCTCTGGACGAAGAGCCAGTCCTGGGGAAGGGCTCGAGACCTCCAGGATCCATCTGGTGTTAGGTCGGTCATGTCCCCCTACAGGCGGGTTGTGGAAGGAAAATAAAAAATACTCGAAAAATTATCAGAGATTGTCAAAAATAGTCAACGATGTGTCCCCTGACTACTTTCGACTATTTCTGAATTCTTCTCCTGTAGAGGGACAGGCCAAACTTCAATCATGTGAAACAAAACGCGACGTCGGAGATCTGGGTCTCCGCGCCACCCCTCCGCCACCGTGTCCTGGGCACGTTGTGGCAGGCTAGGGCGCACGTTGTCTGTCCCGTATGCCCAGTATCGCCACACCACACACGCACACAACACACAGCAGACGCACACGCACACACAACACACGCACACAACACACACACACACACACACACACACACACACACGCACACACGCACGCACGCACGCACACACACACACACACACACACACACACACACACGCAGACACACACACACACACACACGCGCGCACGCACACGCACACGCACACGCACACGCACACGCACACGCACACGCACACGCACACGCACACGCAAACGCACACGCACACGCACACGCACACGCACACGCACACGCACACGCACACGCACACGCACACGCACACGCACACGCACACGCACACGCACACGCACACGCACACGCACACGCACACGCACACGCACAAGCACACGCACACGCACACGCACACGCACCCGCACACGCACACGCACACGCACACGCACACGCACACGCACGACGAAGCAGCCACGGCACGCCGCACGCACGCACGCACGCAACAACACACACACCACACCACACACACAAACACACGCACAGCACCACACACACACACACACAAACACACACACACGCGCTACACCAACACAAGCACGCACGCACGCACCGCACGAAGCACAAACACATTACACACACCTGTTTTTTTGTCGGGCGGGCGCGCGCGGGCGGGGCGACGAGCCACTCGGCCGTTCAAAGTCGCGCGCCAGGCGTAGCGGACTGACGCTGGGTTGAGTGAGCCACCCACTTGCCGTCGCTCGGGCGTCCATTCCCCGCGTATGCTTCGGCTTCGTGCGTTAATATTTGTCCTTGCCCGACGGCACCGGATGCTCCTCGATGGTCCTCGCCGAGAAAAGATGCACAGGAGGAGGAGGAGGCGGAGGAGGAGGCGGAGGAGGTGGAGGAGGAGGAGGAGGAGGAAGAGGAGGAGGAGGCGGAGGGGGAGATGGCGGAGGAGGTGGAGGAGGAGGAGGAGGAGGAGGAGGAGGCGGAGGACGTCCGAGCGATGCCGAGCCCAGAGACGCCCCCTGGGGTCTAGAAGGTGAAGAAGCGGGGAGTCGCTGGGGATCCCACACGGGGCAGTGCCGAGGGGCGGAGGGCAGCGGGCAGCACCTACACGCACAGGCACACACACACACACACACCCTCACCCTCCTCCTCCTTCACTCCTCCTCCTCCTCCTCCTCCTCCTCCCCCTCCTCATCTCTAGCTCCTCCTCCTCCTCCTCCACCTCCCAACCTCCTCCTCCACCTCCACCACCTCCACCATCCCCCTCCTCCTCCTGCTCCTACTACCTCCTCCTTCGCCTCCTCCTCCTCCTCCTCGCCTCCTCCTTCCCCTCCGCTCCTCCTCCTCCTCCTCATCCTCCTCCTCTCCTCCTCCTCCCTCCTCTCCTCATCCTCCACCTCATCTCCACACCTCCACTCCCCCTCCTCCTACCTCCTCCTCCTCCTTCCCCTTCGCCTCCTCCTCCTCCTCCTCCTCCTCCTCCTCCTCAGCCTCCTCCTCTCCCTCCCCCCCCTCCTCCTCCTCCCTCCTCCCCTCCTCCTCCTCCTCCTCCGCCTCCGCCTCCTCCTCCTCCTCTCCTCCTCCTCCTCCTCCTCCTCCTCACTCCTCCTCCCTCTCCTCCTCCTTCCTCTCCTCCTTTCCTCACACACGCATACACACACACACACACACACACACACACACACACACACACACGCAAGACGGACCGAGAGCGCTCCAGGAGGGCTCCAGGACGGCGCCGAGGCCCGACCAGGCGGCCCCAACCCGACCAGCCGAGCTCCAACAGCCCACAAGGAACCTGAAGGTCCCCAGAGGCTCTAAGGTGGCCCCACGGAGCCTTTGAGGCATGCGCCGGCGTGGGCGGGGGCGGCATGCCAGCTCCTCCACTGGGGCCACAGGTGGCGCTCCCTGTGTGGCACGATCCGCGCGGGGGGCGTGCCGACGAGTTGGAGGGAATCACCTCCGACACGAGCCGTCGTCTGAGCCTGCTCAGGATTGCGGCTGGTGTCCTGTGACACGGTCCAGCACCACAACTACAGTAGGGGCCCGATCACAAGAAACCTTCCGCAAGCAACCCAACCCTGAGACCCCAGGACGTCCATGGATTTTTGGTGTGGGCACGTCGCGCTCTCCATCGCAACACAATCGAAACCCAAGAAACCCAGGGCACCCTGGAGGCAAGCAGGGTGTTTCTTGGAATAGGCCTCCACTGCATCAGCAGCCGCTGCGTCGCCGCTGCCAGACAGGACGCGCCGCCGACGAGGCACCGGCGCCGAGCCTGGCGCCCGGCCTCTGCTGAGCGGCCAGGCACGAGCACCTGTACACAGCAAGCTCAGGCTCAGGATGGCTCTAGCCAGGATTGCTGTCCCTCCCCTCCTCCCCTCCTCCCCCTCCTCCCCTCCTCCCTCCTCCCTCCTCCCTCCTCCCTCCTCCCATCCCCCCTCCTCCCTCCTCTCCCCTCCTCCCCTCCTCCCCTCCTCCCTCCTCCCTCCTCCCATCCTCCCCTCCTCCCCTCCTCCCCTCCTCCCTCGGAGCGCAGGCCCAGACATCCGACGTCTTGCATTCTTCCACGCGGGGCCCTGGAAAGTCCCGACCCCCCTCCCCCGGGACGGGCTGTGTTCGTCCCGGCGCGTCTCCCAACGGCCCCGGGGCCCCGCGAGGGCCCCCGGAGGCTGAGGAGCACGAAGCGTCGCCTGTCGTGCTTCCAAGCCGCAGTGGCGGGTCTCACGCAGATCGGTCCACGGGGAGAGGTGCAAATGGTGCTTGCAGGAAGTCGGGCGTATCCCCCTACCTACAGGCGTATTTTGGGCGAAAAAACTGACACTAAAAAAACAAAAACAGTCGAAATATCGTCCCCAGACTATTTGTCTACTATCCTTGAACATTCCTTTTGTACAGGGACATGCCCGACTTGATACTTGCAGTAGGTGGTGCCTGGATGCAGTAAGTGTTGCACGCTGGATGCCCCAGCTGCGCGTGGGTAGTCATGCAGCTTCTCGGGTGAAGTAGCTGCCTCCCGCGCGATGCTTCGGCCCCCCCCCGCAACGGTTGCGCACCGTTGCACGCAACGGGTACACAACTAGCGAACGGTTGCGCTTCTCGCCGCCGACCCCTCGGCGCCAGGCACACTACTCCAGCCTACAACCTCCCGCGAAACTTAACGCAAGTTTTGCCGACCCCCCCTCGCCCCCAAATTTCAATGTTCAGTTGCGCGCGCGGCGCGGTGCGCGGACGCCGTCGGAAAAGCTGAAGTCGCGTGTTTCGGCATCAACATTGAAATTTGGGGGTCTGGGGGCACCAGCGCGGCACGGGGAAACCTGCGTGAAGCTTCGTGGAGGGATGCAGTCCTTTGCTGACGACTCGAGCATGTCTGGGGGCGGCGTCACCCCTGACCGCCGCCGCCGCCGCCGCCCTGGCCCTCCCAACCGCGCCGCCGTGAGCCGCCTGGCTCTCGAGTCAGACCCAGGGCCCTCCGGCGGCCGCCCGGGACGATATCTGGGCACTCCCCGCACGCCCTCGGCGAGGCGCCGCTGCTGGAGAGCACCCCGGGGCTGGAACACCGCCGAGGACCCACGAAAACGCCCGAAAGCCTCCCACCTCAAACCCCCCAACTGGGGAAAGGTGCCGATGCCGCTGCTCGCCGGACCTCTCCAGGGGGTGCCTTCTGACCAGAACTTCGCAGCGAACCTGGCGGTGGCGACGCGGGGCCTCCCGGGGAGGCCCAGCAAGGGGAAAACGCGCCCGAGGGTAGCGGTATGCTTACCTTTTCCTCCTCTGACCAGTCGCCGTCGCCGACCCGGCCCTCCCCACCGCGCCGCCGAGAGCAGCCCCCAGAGGCGCCGCTGGGCGCCCCGCCTGGAGGCGCGCGGACTCCGCCGCGTGCTCCGCATCTGGCGTGCCGCTGCCTCCACGCCCGCAGGGCTGGGCCGCTGGAGGCATCCTACCAAGCCCCGACGGAGACCTCTCTGCCAGAGTCGCCCTCCCCTCGTCCGCCGAATCCCCCTCGACCTCCCTCTACGACCACTCCGTACAGGTACCACTCTCCTCCCTCCCCCGACGGCGTGCTGAAAGTGGTCCGCCCTCTCCGTGCACTGTTTCTGGACGCACACACGCACACACAGGATCTCAGTTTCGGGTGTTTCAACCTGGTGCTCCCCCTGCAGCGTGCGCCTCATTGGAGGATCGGCGCTTGGCCCCAATCGTTCAGAATGACGCCCTCGCCCAGCGCGGGCCACGCCACTTTCTGGATCCAGCCCTTCCTCGTCGATGTCTCCCCGCTCCTTTCCCCTCCTCCGCCTTCCCCCAGTTCTCCTACTCTTCCCGCTCCTCCAATCCCTCCTGCTTCTGCTGCTGCTGCTGTTCCATCTCGTCCTACTCCGTCCTCATCCGCTTCCTGCTCTTCCCCACATTCATCCTCCAGCTCATCAGCTTCATCCTCCAGCTCATCCGCCACTTCCTCCTCGTCCAATGTACACAACCCCTCTATTCTGATTGCACATGATACGGTGGTGTCATTTTGGGTGGTCCAAGTCCGTTATCACACCCGTCGGCGGATAGAGAAAAAAAAGCGTAATAGGAAGGGATGGGTGGGAGGGGTAGCATGTCAGATATGTCGCGAGCGCACCTAGCTTGCCTCTCCCCTCTCACTTCTCTCATTTCATCCCTCCACCTGTGTTGCTCATGCTAGGCAGGGCCTTCACAAAGTCAGTTCCCAGAGGGATGCATCCACCAGCCCGCAACGACGAGGGATGCTCCCGAAGGCCCCAAGACAGAGGAGACTACCATCTTCCCATCATAGTCATCCTAGCTCTCTCATGGCAAAAAAAAAACAAAAAAAAATCCGAAGCCGCTCCGAACAATCCCAGTCCATTCACACAGCAGGAAAACGATGTGCGCACTGAACTTTTCCGGAAACGCACAAATCCGAACTGAAGAGAAGCATGTAGCCAACAAACGGGACGGCAGCGCCGGCGGTATCCCGGCAACAATCCGTTCTCAAGATCGATTGGACTCGAGCCGCGCAGTCGAGGTGACGATGGCGCTCGACCCGAAGGCCGAACATAACAGCACGAGGTGAAGCTAATAGCGCGATCCTGCTCATATCCTCCTCCTACAACTCTACCTCCATCTCCACATTCCTCATCTTCATCATGAACATCACCATCATCGTCATCACCACCACCACCATCATCAGCATCATCACAATCATGAGAAGAACAATTTCCATCACCACCAGCATAAACAATCACCGTAATCATCACAACCTCCCATCATCATCCTCAGCATCATCACCATCATCAGTATCATCATCACCATCATCGTCGTCATCAGCATCGTCATCACAATCATCATCGACACCATGGTCAACATTATCGTCGCCATGATCATCATCATCATCATCATCATCATCATCATCATCATCATCAACAACACAACAACATCAGCAGCATCAGCATCGTCAGCATCATCAGTGGCATCGGCATACTCATCATAATCCTCATCAGCAGCATTGTCGTCACCATGATAATCAGCATTCATCATAATCATCAGAATCATCGTCGTCATGATCAGCAGCATCATCACAATCATCAGCAACAACATCACCAGCATCCACGTGGCAAGCATGATGATCGCCAGCATCATCTGCTTGTTTAAAGTCATCAGCAGCATCGCCGTCGCCGCAGTCAGCATCATCATCATCATCAGCAGCAGCATCATCATAACCATCCTCCTAAGCAGCGACAGCGTCGTCGTCACCATCATCATCGTCATCGTCCTCGTCACCATAATCAAAATTATCATCCTCATCACATTCATCATCCTCATCCGCATCATCATCATCATCATCATCATCATCATCATCATCGTCATCATCATCATCATCATCATCATCATCATCAGCATCAGCATCAGCATCAGCATCATCATCAGCATCATCATCATCGTGAAGGTCGTTTGTCGTTGTCGTCATCGTTGTCGTCCTCATCGTCGTCATCGTGGCCGAAGCCGTCGTCGTCGTCGTCGTCGGCGTCGGCGTCGTCCTCGTCGCCGCTGCCGACGCCGCCGTCGCCGTCGCCGCCGTCGCCGTCGCCGCCGTCGCCGCCGCCGTCGTCGTCGTGGTCACCGTCGTCGCTGTTGCTGCCCCCGCCGCCGCCTCCGTCGCCGTCGCCACTGCCGCCGCCGACGTCGTCGACGCAGTTGTCGTCTCCGCCGTCGTCGTCAACGATGTCGCCGGCGCCGCCGCCGTCGCCGCCATCGTCGCCGCCGCCACCGTCGCCAACGTCGCCGTCGCCGTCGTGGGCGCCAGCGTCGTGATGACCACCGTCGTCGTCGACGACGTCGTCGTCGTTGCCGTCGCCACCGCCGCCGTCGTCACCGTCGCCGTCGTCGCCGTCGTCGCCGCCGACGTCGCCGCCGCCGTCGTCGTCGAAGTCGGCGTCGTCGTAGCCGTCGGCGTCTCAGTCGTCCTCGTCGTCGTCGTCGTCGTCGCCACCGCCGCCGTCCCAGTCGCCGTTATCGTCGTCGTCGCCACCATCGTCGTCCGCGACATCGTCCTCGCCGCCATCGTTGTCGGCGTCGCCGTTGTCGTCGTCGTTGTGGTCGTCGTCGCCGTCGCCGTCGTCGTCGTCGCTGTGATCGTCGTCACCGTCGCCGCCGTCGCCGCCGCCGCCGCCGTCGCCGTGGTCGTCGCCGTCGCCGTCGTCGCCGTCGCCGCAGTCGTCAACATCGTCGCCGCCGTCGCCGTCGCAATCGCCGCCGTCATCGCCAGCGCCGTCGTCGTCGTCGTAGCCGTCGCCGTCGTCATCGACGTCGCCGTCGTCTTTTCGTGGATGTCGCCGTCGCAGTCCCCGTCAAAATCGACGTCGCCGTTGCCGCCGCCGCCGCCAACGCCATCGTCGTCGTCGTCGTCGCCGTCGCCGTCGACGTCGTCGTCGCCGTCGCCGTCGTCGCCGCCGCCGCCGCCATCGTCGTGGTCGTCGTCGTGGTCGTCGTCGACGACGTCGCCGCCGCAGTCGTCGTCGTCGTCGTCGTCGCCGTCGTCGTCGTCTTCGTCGCAGCCGCCACCGCCAGCGCCGTCGCCGCCGCCGCCGCCATCGCCAACGTAGCCGCCGCAGTCGTCGTCATCGTCCTCTTCGTCGCAACCGCCTCCGTCGCAAACGCCGTCGCCGCCGCCATCGCCGTCGTCCTCGTCGTCGTCGTCACCGTCGCACATGCCGTCGCCGTCGCCGTCGTCGTCGTCGTCACCGTCGCCGCCGCCGCCGCCGACAGTGCCGTCGCCGTCGCACCGTCGCCGTCGTCGTCGTCGCCGCCGTCGTCGTCACCGTCGCCGTCGTCGCCGTCGCTGTCGTCGTCATCGTCGTCACTGTCGCCGTCGCCGTCGTCGCCGTCGCCGTCGTCGCCGTCGTCGTCGCTCGCCACCGCCGTCGCAGACGGCGCCGTCGCCGTCGCCGCCGCCTTCGCCATCGTGTCGTCGTGGGCACCGTCGCCGTCGTCGTCGTCGTCGTCGTCGTCGCCGTCGTCGCCGCCGCCGCCGCCGTCGTCGTCGCCGCCGTCGTCGCCGTCGCCGTCGCCGCTGCCGCCGTCGTCGTCGTCATCGTCGCCGTCGCCGTTGACGCCGTCGCCGTCGCCGCCGTCGTCGCCGTCGCCGCCGCCGTCGTCGCCGACGTCGTCGTCGCCGTCGCCGCCGCCGCCGCCGTCGTCGTGGTGTCGTCGTCGTCGCCATCATCGCTGTCGCTGTCGTCGCCACCGTCGCCGTCGTCGCGCCGCCGTCGTCGCCGCCGTCGCCGCCGCCGTCGCCGCCGTCGTCGTCGTCGACGACGACGTCGCAGTCGTCGTCGCCGTCTACGCCGTCGCCGCCGTCGCCGACGCCACCGCCGTCGTCGTCGCCGTCGCTACCGTCGCCATCGCCGCCGTCGTCGTCGTCGCTGTCGTCGCCGCCGTCGTCGCCGTCGCTGTCGTCGCGGCCGTCGTCGCCGTCGTCGCCGTCGTCGCCGCCGTCATCATGTCGTCGCCGTCGTTGCCGCTGCCGTCGTCGTCGCCGCCGCCGCTGTCGTGGTCGCCGCAACCGTCGTCGCCGCCACCGCCGCCGTCGCCAACGTCGCCAACGTCGCCAACGTCGTCGTCGTCGTCGCCGCTGTCGCCGCCGTCGCCGTTGCCGCCGTCGTCGTCGTCGCCGCCGCCGTCGTCGTCGTCGTCGTCGTCGCCGCTGTCGCCGCCGCCGTCGCCGTCGCCGCCGTCGCCCCCGAGGATGGCCTCTGCCCTCGACCTCCTCGAGGTCCTCCGGCGGCGAGGGGCCCTCATCGCCCGCTGGGGCCTGCCGCGGCAGGCTGGAGCCCCTGCGCCGTGCGAGGCGAGCGC